GAAATGAGCAGGGCATGTGTGAAATCTGTGTGCTTCACGGGGGTCTGAAGGAGCAGAATGAGTGGAAAAGTCTGGGGGCTGGGAGGCCAGTTGCTGCTAACTTCAATTGTCCACGCAAAAGACACAAAACAAGGTTCTAGGAATGAGTTACTACAGGTCTCACATATGCTTAATTAAGCTTCCATGAAAATTAAGAGCAGAGTCCACAAATCTCAAAAGCGGGAATTTCGACCCAAGCACTTTTGAGAACAGCACTGCGCTAGACCAGCGCGTCGCTTTCGTTCATTCAGATGAGGGAAAAGACCAGCAGATAGTTGCGTATTCGTCATGAGCATTTATTTATTTACTTTTTTGTTTGTTTTTCTTCCGGTACCAGGAATCAAACTCACTCACGACCTTGTGCTTGCTAGGCAGGTGCTGTGCCGCTAAGCTAAATCTTCAACCCCGAAAATTTAAATTGTATCTATTCTTATTGTAAGCCTTGACACAAATCTTAGCTTTTGTTGTAGAAAGTGGGACACGGCCCTGGGCTCAATTCCCAGTACAGAAAAGAATGACTTTCCAGGCTTAAAAACAATGAAACAACACAGTTGTCCTTCCATATCCACCCATTCTAAGTCCACAGGTTCAATCACGAATCAGAAACGTTAGAAATAATCGCATCTGCCCTGAACATTCAGACCTTTTCATTGCCATCACCCCCTAAAGGATACAGAATACAACAGCTGCTTCCACACTGCTCCTGTTTTAGGAGGTGCTGGGAGGACCCTAGCGGTGAATGCGGTAAGGGGAGGGGGTACATAGGTTCTGTACCTTTCATAGGGGGGCTTAAGCACACGGGGACTCTGGAGTCCACAGAGTCCAGGAACCCTGTCCCGCTGTACACACAGGTGTGAAGATGAACCAGCACACACCAGGAGCCGGGCATGGTGGTGCACGCCTGTAATCCCAGCACTCGGGAGGCTGAGGCAGGAGGATCGTTGAGAGTTCAAGACCAGCCTGGGCTACAAAGTGAGCTCAAGGCCAGCTTGAACTGCATAGAGAGACCCCATCTTAAATAAATAAGTAAATAGAGCCAGAGGTGATGGCGCACGTCTGTAATCACAGCACTCAGGAGGCTGAGGCAGGAGGATCACTGTGAGTTCAAGACCAGCCTGGGCTACAAAGCGAGCTCAAGGCCAGTCTGAACTGCATAGGGAGACCCTGCCTTAAATAAATAAATAAATAAGTAAATAAATAAAGCAAGCCAGAGGTGATGGCGCACACCTGTAATCACAGCACTCAGGAGGCTGAGGCAGGATGATCATTGTGAGTTCAAGACCAGCCTGGGCTACAAAGTGAGCTCAAGGCCAGCCTGAACTGCACAGAGAGACCCTGCCTCAAAAAGACCAAAAAACACACCCCAAAGTACTTACTTTCATCAGTAGCTCCTCGCTTCTACAAGAAAGACCTTAAAAATCAATATTTGTTTAAACAAAAGGATAAATAAGAACCAAAAAAGAGGCATAAACCAGAAATGAAATAAAAACTAGCTGATTTTAAATAAAATAAAGCTGTACTGGCAAATAAAATCAATGTGTGACTATTTAAAAATAATAATAAACATGATGTGCTTCCAGCAAGTGAGACCAGAGAGTCAGAGAGAGAAAAACATAAACAGATATTTAAAATAAAAAGCGTACTTTAAATTACATACTACATCTGTATTAGTAATTCTAGCTTAAATAGAACAGTGTCTAGGAAAGAATAAATGACTAAAATGCATTCAAGATCAATAAATGCCTCTAATTATGGTAAATATTAAAGCATTCTAAAAAATCTGTTAACCAAAAATGTTAGAACCCATACACTCTTTGTTTGTTTGTATTTTGGTGTTTTTTGGTTTTTTTGTTTTTTTTTTTTTTTTGAGATAAGATCTCACTCTATAATTCAGGCTGGCCATAAACTTACTATGTAGCCTAGGCTGGCCTTGAACTCACAGTGATCCTCCTGCCTCAGCTTCCCAAATGCTGGGATTGTGGGTTTATGCCACCATACCTAGCTTCATCAATTTTTAAGGGACAGATAATTTTTGGACTATTTAAACAGTTTTGTGTGACATATAAATATGGAAATCTCAGTTGAATATAGTGGCACACACCTGTAATCCCAGCACTCAGGAGGTTGAGGCAGAAGGATCACTGCAAGTTCGAGGCCAGACTTAACTAGATAGTGTGACCCTGTATGAAAAAAAGCAGAAGGAAAGAAAGAAAAGAAAGAAACTAACTAGCATTAGTTTAACATATACAGATAATCCCACTTCTAGGAGGGAAAAAAAAAAAGAATATTATATAAACTGATTAAAACCTTCTGCAGGGATATAATCCAGTCTGTTAATAGTAGCATTTCTGAGGCCTGGGATTATGACCAATTTTAACATTTTAAATACTTGTGAATTAAGTTTTCTCAATTTAGTATGATTTTACACTCAAAGGGAAAAGATGATTTCTTCCCCAAAGGGAGAAGAAAGGAAGTAGAGCATCTTATTCGAAGTGGATCAACTCTGAAGGAGTGTTTTTCAGTTTAAGAGAGACCCAGGCTAAATTTTGGGGTCTGGGACAGAAGCCAGTTGGGAAGGCGACCAGTGAGGGGATGACCAGCGGGGTCTCCCAGGGCCCCAGGCAGGAGGAGGGGAGCCAAGGCGGACGGCAGAAGTAGAACTGGGACAACTACTTGAGGAGCAGGACGCAGAGAATCGCGGCCAGCATCCCTGTCTGTTTTCCCAATGGATCAACTGGTCTGAGGGGCACAGAAGAGGCTCCGGCCGGGCTGATGCTCCCTGGACTGAGACGGCTCCATCCGGAAGGGCCTGAATTACTAAGGTGCCCATGAGATTCCCGGACTTCACCCAAATTGAGGATCTTTGAATCCCAAATCTTTTTTTTTTTTTTTTTTTGGACAGAGTCTCACTCTGCAGCTCAGACCAGCCTCGGACTCATCTTGATCCTCCTGCCTCAGCCTTCCAAGAGCTGGGATTACAGACACGAACCACCACGTTGGGCCAAATCCCCAGTCTTTTGTGGTGTGGTAAATACTTAGGGTAAATACAGGATCAGAGTATCCGAAAGCAGGTGATTCTAATGCGTGATAAAATCTGAAACCCTTCAAGGTCAGCCGAGGAGCTGGGCCCCTCGCTGAGGCCGTCCCTCGGTGCGCTGCCGAGGGCCGGTGGATAGGCTGTGGGACTGGGCCTCTCCGCGCTCTGGGGACAAATCCTCAGGAAAACCGACGGCTGAGTTCGCGGCTGCGCGTGGGCGCCCGGGGTGCGGCGGAGCCCGAGGAGCAGGTCGGGGAGCACAGGGTGAGCAGGAGGGCGCGGGCTGGAGAGGAGAGCGCTGAGCGGGTCTGCGGAAGCTGAAGAGGGCGAACTGCAGGTCTTCATCGCTGAAGCGGATTTGGGGGCGAAAGACTGTAAAAGAGGAGCCGCACTCCCTAGGGTGCCGCCCTCCAGGGGGAGCTGGGCAGAGGCCGCCTGAGTGAGAGAGGTGGGGTGCGGCCGGCCGGAGCAGGAGAGGTCCAGAGGGGCGGTCAAAGTGCGAGGTGGGCACACTCTCAAACACTTGGGGCCTCGGGGCCCGAGGAGCGGCAGAGCCAGGAAGGAGGGGGCGGTGTTGGGGGGCCCTAGGCGGTCTGCGTGGGCCAGATTCGTCCAGGGCAGGGACTGCGGACCCCTGGGTTGGCAAACATGCAATGACCTCCCCATTGTCTGCGTGGTAACAGCCGGGACTGTGGTTCAGTACCCTGCATGTCACTGTTCTTACCAGACGCGGTGCTTGTGGGGGGTTTCTTGGTCGCTTTGACCGTGAATTCTGTGTTGAAGCCTCAGTGTTTCTGGACAGTAGTTTTCGAAAGCTGGGTTCCCTTGTCTCCTTTCTACCTAGACCTCTTTCTCCTGCCCCACCTCAGATACGTGAAAGGAGGGAAGCTGCCCCAGGCCTCCAAGAAGAGTTTGGAGCAAGTGCTTCGCAGAGGTGTGGGCGGGAGAGGGTCTCCCTCCCCGCAGGGATGATTTGCCTGGTGGTCTGGGAAGCCTAGGGGGTTACACTTGAGGAGAGCTTGTTCCGGGAGGTGGAAGGGAGGAGCAGACTCTCAGCCGAGACAGAATAAAAGAAATAACAGATTCTGCCCTCCTCTACCTGCAGGTGAAGTTCTGCTTTCTTCACACCCTCTCCCTGGGGAGCCTGGCCCGTGCTGTGCCTGGCTGCCCCTCCCTTTACACAAGAGCATCCCCGCTGTACCCAGATCCGCGGTGCTGCCCACCTCGCCTCTCTCGGGAGCGCCTGAAGCTCAGCTTTCACAAGCAGAGAGCATGACCCTCCCCCGCGCTCCTGCGCCCGGTGGCTCCCAGGGCCCAGGGCCACCTTTCCCATGGAGCCGAGACTCTGCGGAGCAACCCTGGGGAGCCTCGGGTGTCCTCGTCCACACCCAGTTCACCAAGCCCTTCCAATTTTAGGACGTAAAGAAGTCAGGAGTCCTCAGGTTCCGTGAATGCTCACACGTGGAGCTGGGGTGATCTTTTCCTGACTCTAAGACCAAATGGCATCACATTCCTCCTCAGTCCATCCAAGGATTCAGTATGTTTCCAGCTTTCCTCATGGTTTACAGGGCCTGGTGTGGCCTGACACCGCCCACGGCTCTGGGCTCTCTCGGACCCTTTGGCCCTTCTCCCTCCCCTCAGGCCAGCTGCATGGGTGTGTCCTTCATTCTTTGATAGATCCCTTGCTATCCCCACCCCACCCCTCAGTCTTTTTGTTGTTGTTGTTTTGTATCTTTTTGAGGCAGGGTCTCACTGTGCAGGTTAGGCTGGCCTTGAGATTACTCTGTAGCCCAGGTTGGTCTCAAACTCCCGGTGATCCTCCTGCCTCAGCCTCCCGAGTGCTGGGATTACGGGCGTGCACCAGCACGCCCAGCCTACCCTTCAGCCTGAAAGTCTTGGTACACGCACTTCCTTCCCATTTCAGGTTTTTAACCGCTTGTGTCTTTCTGCTCTCGGCTCAGACCTGAGTTCCGTGGCGACGCTGTCAGACATCCATCCAGCAAGGTGAGATTCCTTTGGGATAGTTGCTGGTAGGAATGTGCCCCCGCCTGCGTATGTGGAGCGTATGTTCCAGTTGTGATTGCGTATTGTCGTGTGTGGTGATTTTCCTTGCGTTTGGCTCCCTCACGGAAGGCCTGTGAAATAGAAGAAGCCTGTGTGCTTCTCCTCAGGACAGTGCTTTGCGCCCGGTGATTGAGCCAAAAATATTTGTAGGGTGACGGAGTGGAGGGAGCAGAGAACATCCTGTGTGTGCCTGGTGGAAGGCGCGGTAATCAGGTCCTGTTTCTCTGGTCCTCCCACCGGGACTTGGGTAACTCTGAGACGGTGGTAGCCGTGATACTTTCATTGGAGCAGAAGCCCCAGTGCTGGTTTATCCTGGTTCTGCAGAGTTCACCTTGTCAGGTCTAATTCTAACAGTCGGGTACCGTCAGACACGCTCCTCTGCCTCTGGGCTCACCCCCTGTGCTCTGCAGCCCTCCTGCCCGTCACCCGCCTGCACAGCTGGAATTGACTTTGGGCTTCCAGACCAGATAGGGCAGGGCCGGCTGCGGAGCCGGGGCACGTGGTGTGCGTGCTGTCGCTGCGGGGATGCCTCAGGGCTCAGAGACTACTGCTGGGCTCTCCTCCGGACAAACCAGCTTTGGGAAACAAGGCTTGAAGACTTGAATCTCAAGATGCTGAGTTTCTGTCCGGGGTGTTTTGCCTAACTGTTTTGCCTAGCTGTTTCATGGTAAATGAGGGGAATAATAACCTAGTACAGTTCCTCAAGAGACTGTCAAGAAGTTGCTTGCCCTTTTTCTGATTCTTGGGCCCCAAGCTGTCTGTACTGCCGCAGCGGATAGGGGTCAGCTTCAGTTGCAGCAGAGGTGCCCTGTCCTGCCCCAAGAGTCCGGTATGGAGCTCACAGTCCGTGTCTCTGTGTTGATTTCTCCATGTCCAGGATGCCCAGCATGTTTCTTAGCAGCCTCGGAGTGCTGTCATCAAAGTGCTGAAATGATACTAGGAGGAGAAGAGGGGTTAATCTGATAAGAAAGTGAACATAAAGCCACACGTGGTGGCACACGCCTGTAATCCCAGCACTCTGTGGGAGGCTAAGGCAGGAGGCTAGGGCAGGAGGTTAGGGCAGGAGGCTAGGGCTTGAGGATCCCTGCAAGTTCAAGGCCAGCCTGGGCTAGTATACATAGGTGAGTTTAAGGCCAGGCTGAACTGCATAGTGAAACCCTGTTCCAAACGAGCAAAAACATGGTATTTTCTCGTATTCTCTAATTTGGATGAGAACCTCCTTTAGTAGAGAGTGTTTATACTATACATACCTAAACCTGATCTGACAGTCCCAAATTACATCCCAACCACCCACTTCTGAATAGTAAAAAAAAAAAAAATCAGAAGCCTGTAATTGTGTAACATGTAAATCTCTCCTGGCCCAGGGCCCGCCGTCACTGTGGTTTGGCAACCACCAACACATCTCTTTTCTCATCTGGAAGAGGAAAAAAAAACCAACAAAGAAAAAAATACCTGGAGAATACAGGTAATGATTAATCTATCGGGCATGAAAAGGACCATTTTGAAAATTGCAGGTTAGAACTCATTAATCCAAATCAATAGCAGTGAGCGGGAGATGACGGTTTCGCTGGGAGATTAAGTCACAGCTTTTCTGTGGACAGCCTTTGGACAGTCGGAGAGGCCCGCCGGACATCTCCAGGAGCCTACTCGGAGTTCGTGTCCATGAGCCTGTGAAGGCGAGGACTGAGCCAGCTCTGTGGAGTATCATCGGAGGAGGAGCCCCACGATGCCTGCTGACATGGCAGAACCTAGGAAGGACTTCAAGCGCAGGCTGGCCTTGAAGAACAGCTTAGCCAGGGAGACCGTGTCTGAGTTCCTGGGCACGTTTATCCTGATCGTGAGTATTTGCCGCTTTTCTAAGTCACACCCTGGTTATGCGTCCCTCACTGCCAAGCTGAGGGCGCAGAGCCTTATTTGGGTTTGTGCCCTCTGGATTAGTAATCAGATTCATCTCTGCCTGGAAGTCACAAGTTGCTACTAGGCTGCTTGTCAATAATACTAGGTTTTTCTCTGTCCTCGCTGCTTGTATCTCGGATACGTGGGGATGGAAGAGGAGTGTGGTGCTTTTTGTCACTTCAGGGATTGACTTCCTCAGAGTCTCAGATGGTTTTGTGATGGAAAAGTTAGTGCTGGAAATTTTTCTCAATGAATAGTTGATTTGTGTCCGGCTTGCTTCCCACAAACATGGAAGTAGCTCAGTCGTCTGGGAAAAATATTGACGATCAGTAAATGCAGACTGCAGGGATGTGCTGGGAAAAAAGATTGTGTTGCCAGGTTGCTGGACTTTTCAATCAACTGGAAATTACGCCGAGTAAGAACTGTGGACGTGCGCTACTCTAGCTTTGGCTTCCTGTCATTTTTCCCCTTTAACTGAAGCAAATCTCTAGAGATCCTGAAACAGGCAGTTGTAAGAACTTGTAGACATAAGAGAAGGGCTGATTCTAAGAACGTGATCAGGGCTTCGCCAGAGATGAGCTCAGCAAGGAACAGCAACCCGGGAAGTTTGTGTGGTTGGTGTAGGTTCCACACTTTCCACCGCTGCCTTGCCGGAGCCTTCTCTGGATCACCAAGCTTTAGCTGGGGTCAGACCGTTTGTGAATAAAGAACTATTGTCACGTGGCAACTATTGATGTTAACTTAAAAAAAAACACTCCGATTCCCCACTCCAGCTTTGAGTCATGTTTAATAAAGTTCTAGACAGTTGCCCGTAAGTTTTGCACATTAAAAGTTCTGTCCCTTGAGTAAATAGATAATAAGGTAGAAGGAGGAGCTTAGAATGTGTCAGTCAAGCCAAGGCTGAGAAATGAACCTGAACGCAAAAAATTGAGCTAAAATAACAAGAGGAGTCGTACACTTCCTAATCTCGGACTCTTCTGATCCTGTCACCCAAGTATCTGGGGGGAATTTTAGACAGTCTCTAGCATTCCTCACCTTCCCCTGGCAAGGCGCTGGTTGTGCCGACCATACTCTCAGAACTGAGGGATGCAGAACTGGAGATAAAAGGGGAAATAAAAATAGGTGATTTCTCTGATTCCCGTTCACTGCCTACTGGCAAATTGCTCTCAGTGAGACAGACGCTCTTGTGTTATGATATTTGAGGATCTGGCCCCAAAGAAGGGAGTAAGTTGTCACCACAGACTTGTCTCAGCCCTCGAGGCATGTGGTACAGAAAAATGAAGCGAATTCAGTTATATTTCTGCAGAAAGCCAAGAGGAGAAAGTGAGTTAAACTTCCTTCTTTTGTAACTGGCAAAGTTAAAACCCTCCATTTCTTAGTAAGAATCTGTTTCATCATCCCATTCTTTTGAAGTGGAGAAGGCGAATGTTGCTTTCAGATTCACTCAGGCAACCAGCAGCGTGTCTTCCTTCCCCAGCTGAGCTGGTGACACACATCTCTTGGTTTTCGCCCACAGTTCCTGTCTTGTGACTCCCTCCCCACGACGGGCCACAGAAACTACAGCTGTCTTTCTGCCGGAACTCTTATCTTTCTGCACCTTTCCATCTTCAGCCTCGCCTTCAAGGAATTCTCTGGCCTACCTTGTTAGCATATGTCTTGCTGAGAGTGATTTTCCAGTGAGCAATGAACTAGAATCAGAGACCCCATGGACCCTTAGTTTCTCTCCTCTCCTTCAAACTCCCCCACCAAAACGCTGAAAGTGAGCAGGTCATCAGACCCCTTAGCAGAAGGTGTCTTCCCCGTCTGCTGGAGGGAAGCCTGCTACCCAGAGGGGCTGGGAAGAATCTGCAGTCAGGCCTTGCTGGGTTTCCCCGTCAAGTCAGTTTGTTTGCTTGTTTTTTGTACTGGGGATGGAACACAGGACACTGTGTGTGCTATGAACACACTCTACCGCTAAGCTATGCCTCCAGCCGCCCTGCAGTCTGTAGGCATCAGATGCATCAGATAGAGCTCAGTTGTGCAGGCTTTAGTCCTGTCTATGCAATGAAGTCTGCATCTAAACCCAAAGGACAGTCTAATGTGTGCAGCTCACAGAAGGCAGTGTGCCCTCAGGGTATAGAGCCCCCCACGCCAACACACACACACCCCTTAACCTGTATATCTTTCATCTCTATCCTTCATACTATCCTTCATTAACAAGCCTGTAAAACTGAGAAAGTGTTTCTCTGAGTTCTGTGAGCCACACAAGCAAATTAATCCAACACAAGAGGGGGCGGTGGGAAGTCCAAACGGTAGCTGGTCTGTCATCCCAGGTAAGAAGCCTGCAGCTGACAACTGCACACCTGAAGTTGGAGGCTGGTTTTAGGTCCGAGACCTCAACCTGTGGCACCGGACACTATCTCCAGGTAGAAGCTGTCCATGTGTAATTGATCTGGTGGCGCGTCGAGCTGGCTTCCACTGTGGAATGAATAGCGTGTTTGCTGGCAGGGGAAACCCCACTGCTGGGGTCACAGAAGTCTTCATGTTGATCCTTCTAATGTGAGAGTAGGAGAAAGGTTTGTTTTCCTAGTGCTCACGGTGGGTTCTAAAAACACATGGCTTAATACTGCGCTTTGAAAAATTGAAGTTTGTATCTTCTGGTCAAAGTAAATCATAAATGGATTAATACCTATTTATAGTGTGTATTTATAGGTGTATTTTCTAAGAGCAACCCTGATGAAATCTGTCACTGTGATTATAATCTTCAGTTTTACTGGGGCCTGTGGGGAAGCGCAAGCAAGGAGTCTGCGCATGCACAGTGCCTTTTCAACCAGTCTGTGTGGTTTTGCTCAAAGGTCATCCAAATCAGTTCTTTCTGACTTATTAGAAAATGTGAGTTTTGCATTGCATTTTCTACTCAGAAGCTTTGGCTGTCCATCGGGCATGGGGAAAAGTAACATTGGAAAGACGGCCAAAGATAAACAGATGCACCAGTCCTTCAAATTCGTGAGATTCATTCCTACCCCACCCTGGGTGTCCGAAGTCACTTTTCTGCCTTCTCACTTCTCTGCCTCCTGAGGAACATTTCACACCAGGGTGGAAATGGCGGATAGGGTTGCCCGCGGCTGCGTTAAGGGGAGAGAAGGCCCACGAGAAGCTCTTTGCACACTCCGAGTAAAATCAGCATCAACAAATTTACAGCCAAAGAATCAGCTCCAGCCGGCCTTTTAGATGTTGAGCTAGATAGGCCGCTCCCCTGTACTCGTGTAGGGAGAGGCAGCGCAGTGCTTCC